TCAACCCTGAAGTCACTGCTCTCACGAGTTGTTGATTCTCCGTTTTAGCACTTTTCAATAAATTTCATATATATTTATACTATAATGAATAGCGTACCGTGTCCAAATAGATAAGTACCATGTGCATTTGACAATATATGGTCAGAATTACTTTATGTATTGAACAGTGCTTAATGCAGGGACAATACGTGAAATCGTAAATTCATTTTTTTTCAGAAACTGAACAAACAGTTATAGCATGAATTGCATCATCCACTGAAAATTGTGTATGGCTTTACGATTAATCCTTTATTTGATAATTGGTGTAAGTTACATTTCAAGGTACATTATTTTATTTAAATTAAGCGCAATCTAAAGTAGGAGAATATTTTTATAAATCCTGGCTTACATTGGCCACATTGGTAAACGATTTTCCAATGCGATTTTTTGACATCATAAATGGGTACGGCGAATATCTTTACATTACACGCGATAACCGTGCCTTGTTTCCGAGATGACCTTGAGGTCAAGTAAAAAGATTTTTCGGTTGAAAAACGAGGACACGAAGTCCTTTCAGTTTCAGAGCAGTTGTCGAAGGCCTTCCGTGCCGTTTCCTTGAAGATCGTTACGTCGTCAGGGCAGCTCCCCCTCCCTACGATTTTTAATTTTAAACACCAATGTGGACAGAATAAGGAATCCCACCACTTCCTTTTCTTCTAAGTGATAAACGCTAAGTTATTAACAACTTAATTTGGTTTACTTAGATTACGTTTGCCATGTGATGTCCGCATATTACACATATATACTGCCCGTAAATCCCTTTTAGTTCGGCGTCTGAGCGGAAGTAGGTGGTGGCCGTGCGAAATCGTACGTGCGGCTTCACGGCCACCATTATAATTTTGTAAAGTTGACAATTTTGACAATTTTTTTTAAACTGCAAGCCCGTCACATAATCGTAGTTGGTATTGTACAGTTGCCGTACGGGCAGTGTACGGTTGACTTGGCATTAGCGTGATATTGGTGAAAACTGTCGTTGGACTGGTTCCCTTCCGCCTTTTATGGTTTAGGGGGAATAACAACAGTCTATCTACAGTATCTTGTCTTTGTAGGACGTTATAGAAGTTATAGCAGTATACACTGGAAAAACCAAGAGCATTGACCTTTTTAAAAGGATGGTTCTATAAATTCTCATTATATGTAACGTATATATATATGTAACATATGTAACGTTGTGTCAGCGTGAGCACGCTCAGTGGTGTTGAGTGTAGACCATTTTATTTCTGAAGAACTGTTTAACAAAGGACATTGATCTTATTCATATGAGTAAACGTTACATCCAAACGATGTAATACAAGTTATCACAAGGTTAACGCCACATCATAACGGAAGGCAAAACTGACAAAATACAGACGAGATGTTTTGACAAGTCAGTTACTTTAAGTTTACATAACTGACATTACACCGGAATACCCTAGAACAACGACATCTTTAAGTGGCTGTCATTAATGTATCATTCATTTTTTCTTTTTTTTTTTTTTTTTTTTGCTATTGCAGTTTGAACTTAGATGGATTTTTTATCTTCCAACCAAGTGTCAAGTTGTCAAAACAACACTAAGATAGCACAGCCACATTCCCTTATTTTGGTGTGTTGCAGTATTTCTATTCACCATGCATATTTTCAACATGAAACGCGATGATTTATTTAGTGAACCTTTAAATTCGGAATCAACTCTTCTTCAATTATTTTCACATTTTTTTCTCATTTTCTTAATCTTGCCAAAAATATTAGTGATCATTTGAGATTACAAAACGTGGCTCAAACAGCAAAGAGGCAATTAAGAGCAAACCTATACTTGTATGGCAGATGCTATTCTAGCAAACGAAATATATATATTTTTTTTACAGATGATTCATCTCAAATATTTATTCGGGATACAGAGCTTATATTGCTCGTGATAATAGTTGGCCTAGGTATCAAGGTCAGGCAATTGGCATTAGTTGTGGCTTTACTAAAAGAAGTATACGTGGAAACGTTATAGTGCTTTCTATACCGTAGTGATTATAAAATTACGCAACAAAATCGATTCCACAGATTCATTCATATTACAAAGTGAAGTAATAACTTTTCTCATTTTGGCAATTTCATTTAAGTCTTTGTACCTGCAGACTACTCTAAACATTAGCATGGTTTCACAATTATAAACATCATAATAAACGAAATCATTACTTTGGAAAGAGTTATTCCATTGTCAGTTTTGACAGCTTTTAAACTAAAAAGAAATTACTCAAGAGTGAATATTATGCATTTTTGCGCATTAAACATGCTAATGAACTTTTCTATATTCAGTTTGAACCACTTGATCACAATGCAGATTAATTTTTATCCAAGTTGAATTTGACTTGACTTGCTACATGTGTCTATTATTGACAAAGTGCATTAATCTTTGCGAGCAGACTTTTGGTGTAAGAGGGTGTGTGTACTATCACAGCATTTAAATGACTTTATGATTGAGTTTTTCTCATTGTTACTTCAATGATTTAAGGAACTGATCTATGTATTATTATTATTATTATTGAGAGTGTGCGAGACGCACAGAACTAACACGATACTTAAGTCCTGACAAATATTATAATTTTTAAAAAACCATTATGTACTATTTTATGAATTATGTAACATGATTATTTACGCTTTTATAAAATCTATTACACATGACTTATTGATAATCATAATATTTTGTGTTAATCATGATCATTATAATTAGCATGCCGTATTTTACTAACTTTACAATGTTAGGCCTACGAATAATAAAGATTGTATTTAGTATTTTATTTTCAACAATTATGATTTTGTAAATATGTATCTTATCTTTTTTTATTTGATTTTGCAGAATCTGACGAACTTGTGCATCATATATACATTGATGACAGAACTGTAACCATGTCATTTAAGCTTTTTGAGAATTTATGTAAACATTCTGTATATATAAATGAATTATGCTTCAAACAACAAAGAGAACCGAATTTTCAGATTAAGTTTTCATCTGATTTGATAAATTAATCAATTTTGTTCGTATTTTGTGGAAGGTTTGATTACCTAGACGGGAAGTTGGACTTTATGAAGTTAATTGGTTGTGCTCATTATTTGATGATATCTGAAGATTATAGGGAATATATGTTGCGTCAAATACCATTAGATTTTGGTAAATGTATTATTCAAGCTTTATATTATGCATGGATTGTTACTAAATTAGTTGTTGTTACTGTACTTTTGCTCCGACGTTTAAATATTCCTGTTAAGCGTTATCATCAATAATTGATGATGATCGAGAAATGTCGTATACTCGATTTCGACGACTTATTCTTAAAATGACAAGGAATGGAATTTGTTCTGATCTTACTATTACTGTAGTACAATGGTACATTGTCCTATTTGTAAATGCATTGAGCATTAATGCATTCGGCATAGATTTTGTAAGGGATATCTCTTACTACATCGCGAAAGCATGATTATTTTTGTTAATTTACGAATTTGATATTATTTAGTTTTGCTTTAAATGAAAAAAAGGAGCGTATGTTGTAAAGTTTTAGAATTCTTTTGAAGAAGGGGTATATGTTTTGAAGCAAATAGCTTACACTTTCAATAATTACAGATAACAGTTAAAACGGAATCAAATGTGTAAAAGGAAAAGGAGTTATTGAGTGCAAGTTAAATTTCTTTAAGGGTGCATTCCCAGAGATTTAGATCGATCCAGATATTAAGATTTAGATCGACCTAACTCCCTGGGGGTTCACGCTAAATTGCAGTCAGCCGAGTGCGCACCATAGTTAATTACCCCCTTACAGCTTTTAGTAGGCGGGACAGACGCTTGATCCGGCTAAGCTGACAGTAATCTAGTGAGACTCCCCACAGGGATAGATCGATCTAAAATCTATGGGAATGTGGTCTGAGTCAACAAGTGTAGATATTGTTCTCGTAGTAAGAAAAGATGGAACATTTCAAAGTCACATTAAGTCTGATTTGATTGGTTAATTTTTCAGTAGATTTGCACGTTTCTAACACGTGTAAAACGCATGCAAACTCGAGATGGACAAGGTCCAAGCATGAGTAATTCAAATAATATTTTTAATGTTTTAAATTGAAAACAAGTCTCTCTGAAATTACCTAATAAGGAAATATTGAATGGCGGTTTGCAACATGGAAATTGGAAAACTCTTTAGAAAACAGAGTTTAAAAGAGTTTGAAATTGTGTGAAAAAAGAGAGTCGGTGAATAAAGGTTTGAAAGCTCCAGATCGATGTCGTCATTACTCACTATAACAATATACATGTATCAAAGCAGTGGTGGGTTTAGAGGAGGGGGGTCAGAGGGTGTTAGATATCAACTGGAAAGATCACGTTCCAAACACAGATGTGTATGGATCACTACCACTGTTATCATCTGTTATCAGGAAAAGGAGGCTACAGTATGCAGGACACTGTGCCCGCACCTTAGACCAGCCAGTCTCTAAACTCATATTTTGGACATCACCTACGGGAAAAGCTCAATAAAGAAGACCATATGTAACTTACTCAGGTACCATCATGGATGGCACTGGTTTGCAGACAACTGAGAGCCTTTCAATAATGAGAGAGAAACAACTCTGATGTAAAGATGTTCTGCTGCTGCTTCCATTCTGCCCAAAGGCGAAGGATAATGATGAAGTTATTTACTTATAAATGTATTGCTAGTCCCTAGGCTACTATGTGATCCTGAACAATTCAGAAAAAGTATAATCTGGGGAAGGGTGGGGCACAGTTTGCAGGGTGCCCTTCTAAAGAGGAACAAACTTTCTGCAGTGACCTACCCTTTTTTATTTAAAATTAAGGAACATGCTTTGTTTTGAATTTCAATTGTATCATATGTTTGAATTTTTTTTTTTTTACAAAATTAAACAGTTCAGGTAGATATAATTGGTTCTCTTATCAAGTAGAATAAACAAGTCATGCATGTCCAAAACAGATTTATTTCCAGTGCAAGCTAGGGTCCCTCTATCTACCCACTACCAGTCCTTTTTATTCTTATTATACATGTATACTCTAAATTAATATCTCTCCAATACGATAATTACAACATCCATATGGCATAGACTCACATGACATGACTAAAAGCAGCATCACAGAGGAGTGCCACATTACAAATATCCAATATGTTGTTGCATCATACATATACATGTAGTAATACAGGTCATTGTACATTTCAAAGCTGTTTGATGAATAGCCTACCTATGTCTAAGAGTATGTTGAATAGCGTTGGTATTTTTCACTCTGTAAACACTACACATCTTACATTTATCAGTAATGAAAATAGACCACTGGTTGTGAAGGATTAAATTATATAAAAGTATATGCAATGAATATGTTATTAACTTACATGTATGTCATTTTTCTACTTTTGAAACCAATTAGTAAACGAGCCTTTGTAAAAAGGTCTAGAACTAATAAATTATTTTTATATATTACTTATATATATGATAAGGCTAAAGCCACGCAATTTGCCATATAGTAGTAGATATATATAACTAACTAACTCACTCACTGAGCAAAGGCGCAGCATCACCGGGGGCACCACATTACAATATCAAATATGATCTAATCTCACATGATAAGGCTAGAACTACATGACTTCATTGCATCCCTTACAAAACATCAGATTATCAATAATTTCCAAAAATCCTGTTCTTTTGCTACAATATACGAGATAAAGGTGCATAATGCCACTCAATTTCTACCTGAGGTGATGATGTAGTTTTGTTAAAATTCTAGATAGACAGGACAGATGTGCACCCAAAGGAAAGCCAGAAATGAACTAGTGGCCCTGATAAAGGGTAGCACATGCAGTCAACTATCTTTTCCCCAGTTGCCCCATTTTCTTCTCTAGTGTGCTCATCTCTAGTAGAACCATTATGTTCTCTAGCACATTTATCCCCAATTGCTCCACCATCTTCTCTGGAGCACTCATCCCCAGGTGTCCACCTCTCTGGCACACTAATGTCACTAATGCCCAGTTTCTTTATTGACTTCCATGTCAAACTCATCCCCAATTGCTCCATGGTCTTCTCTGGTGCACTTATCCCCTATTATTCCATTCTATTTCTGCCATACCTGACCCCAATTGCTTGATTGTCTTCTCTAATGCTCTCATGCCCATCTACAACATGGTCTTCTATTTAGTATTTACACATTATCACGTCAGTGTTCCAAGGTGGCTAGGTTTATCTTGTGATTTTAATGAATTATTTGCATATCCTTTGCTTAATTACTATTGAAAGATTGTCAAATATATACACATATTGTCAAATATATTTATATACATCCATAACAACCTTAAAGGTCTAAATCCCTCTGTTAAACATAAACAACAGTACAGAATCTCAGTTAATGAAAGTGTAATTAAATGTTTACATCTAATTGTGAAAGCTTAGAAAAGCGTGCATAAAAGTGATTATATACAAGCATCACAGTTTTCTTGTGCCAGCAAATATTTCTTTAACTCTGTCTGTTTACATGTCTCTTGCTTGGAATGCACGTTCAACTTCATGTACTCCAAAGAAGGTCTGCATAACTTTGACAACCACAAGCTTGGCTGAGCTTGCAAAGGTCTGGTAATGTTCGCGAACAAAATCCACCATTGGTTCCAACTCAAAATCCACAGCATGGACTGTTTCATGCTCAAACTTATCCTTGGGTCCTGCCGTAAATCTTGACTTGAGCTGATTGTAGCTAAGTCTGTGGTCCTCTGAGATACGTTCGTCTGTCAAGTCGACAAAGCCGCAGATGCCCCATTCATGAGTGTCGTATTTAAGATAAATGGTACTGAGACAAATTGCTTCTAAGTCTCCACCCCTCAGCTCAACTCTTAGTTCTTCTTCCAGACCTCTTGCTGCTGTACTGATTAAAGACAGATACAGAGGGTCGGCATGTGGGTCGATGTAATCCTTCACTGAACAACTTTCAACAGCTCCACAAGTAAAAGCTCCAGGGCTCGCCATGCCTTAAATAACATAAAAAAGACAGGAGAAGTAATAAATTTATTATATGATCAAGAGATTATTATAAACTTGAAAAAGGTAAGAATATTGTCTGTTTAATATCTATACCTCAATTTCAAATTATTGTACTAGGCAATGAACATTTCAAGCTCATTCTCTACCTGGTCTTCTTGACCTTTGTGGAAAAATAAATTTCTGAGGTTTTCCTGGGCCCTCATTGGTCAGCACGGCTACATGAAGTCCAAATGAAGTGCTGTAGTAGGGTTCCACAATCCCCTTACAGGAAACAAGCTCACTCCGCTGATGCTCTGTCAAGGCACTCCACATTTCACGCATTGCTCGGTGGTGAACATAAGTAGTCTCAGCAAACCTAGAAGATATTTTGCCCAATTATTATTATATCTTAATATATCTCTGGACTGATGATTTCTTATCAGTTATTTATTACATGTGCTTCCTACTTTAAAAAAAAAACTAATTTAGAGAATTGTGAAACCAGATCTTTTTTTTCCTGTTTGCTTTTCAGTTAACCATATAATAGGGGCAAAAGTTATGTGCAATGTTATTTTAATATAAAGCTCCAAACAAATTATACATTTTTTAAAAACAAATATAGCACACTTACTCCATTTCAACTTTTTGATCTTCTTCCTCACCTGCCCTGTCTGTTACAAGCTTCTTAAGGGCAATGATAGTATTGTCATCAATAATTTTATCCTTTGCTTGTTTTTTAAACTTCTTATAGCTGGCTTTATAAGTTTCCCTTTGCTCTTCAACCCAATCAGGTGGCAAATCACAATTTGGCTGCTTATTTGGTTTCAAAATTATCTTGCACTGTAGAAACTCCATCTTGTAACCCTGAGGTCTTTCTGACCGCCTGTGGTAGTAACCCTCTGAAGTCTAAAAGAAGACACTGTGTCAAAGTTTAGGAGCAGTGTAGACACACAGTTGATTGGCTATCAAATAAACTTGATTGAGTAACATGCAAAATTAAAGGAATGTTGACATGAAAAGTCAACATGGTGCAGTAAATTTAAGAACATATAGGGTCTTAACGTGTGTAAAGCAGATTACAATTGCAACATAAAGAATATTTTTTAAAGCTGATAAGAAAAAGGCAAACCTCATCAACCAAAGAGTCTGCCACAAATATCTTGGTATCTTTGAGAAATCCACAAACAAAAAACTCTGCCTTGAGGGCCTCTGACTGGTAGGGATTTTTGTCACCTAAAAATGATCATTTTGTTAGTTTGTTACCAATAATATACGTAAGAGACACATATATGATCATTCCAGTTTATTACAAATTTTATGCTCAAATATAGTCCAAGGAATAAACATGTATACTGCTCTAGCAGAAATTTACTTTTCTATTGTACATGTAGGTAGTTCAAACACTCGTTTCCAAGGCAACATCATGCTTAACTAAAACAAATTAAAGAAAAGGGACAGAATTATGATATTTGACTTTTTAGCTTGAATAATTATAATCATAAAATCAAACCTAAAAAAATATTTAGTACCTGTGACAAAAGTATATACTGTACTTACTACTGAAATAGTCTTTCATCAATTTCTCTGCCCCAGGGCGTTCCTCAGGTTTTTCTCTTCTACAAACATCATAAACATCTTTCAATGGGCCACCAAGTTTCTGCATGGGCATATTTTCTTTATATGGATCATATTTTCCATTTTCTGGCAATGATGGCTCATCCATACTCAGTGTTTTCCATTTATTCCATGGCTTTTCACCAGTGTGCATGAAGCCAATAACCAATCCAAAAGAGAATATATCTCCATGCTTGAGGTCCTCTTGAGAAGAAAGGTTGGAACTGCCACTGTAGCCTATAATAAATGTGTAACACATGAAAGAATCCCAGACAATTATTGAAAATTAAATATAAAATCTATTCTGAATTTACTTTTTCTAGATTTTTTATTGCAGTGTTAAATACATATTTATGCTTGATACTTTTTATTTCATGCAAAATAAAAAATGTGGTATTGCTTCTGATTTCAGTGCAGTGTCTATGGGACCATTCTCAGACCCCGTCGTACTAATTGTGGATCGATCCATCTTCAAGGTGTTTCTTGCTAAATTGCTCTCAGCTTAAGTGGCTTAGTTGTCTGGCTTGCCTACTGAACTATCATTTAGCAGCTTCAGGAGGCATGCCAGACATCTAAGCCTCTTATATGAAACCCCTTGGAGATGAATCGATCCTGTTAGATCAATCAAGGTATGGGAACCCAGTCTATCTGTATCTAAATCATGCAAGCATGGATCCATACTGTCTTCAACCTACTTCCGGAACATGGTCGGAATTTTTAAAGAGGACATGTATGTAGACAGTCTTCCATTCTGATTTTGAGTTATCAAATTACTGCAATTATGTCATTCACATTATTCTCTTTATAACGGAGTCAGTCCACAGTTGACCGTACACTACCAGTATATAGCTGCATCTTTATATTTTGTTATCGTTTAGCTAGATCTTATATTGATAAGGTGATATTGCATGGTAGGTATTAGTTATACATCGTCATTACCTCTGTTTGAAAACACTTGAAAATAAATAAGTAAAATAAAAAAGTTAGACTGTAAGCAGAGCCAGAAATCGTGAAGTATTCCTTATGTATCTCTTAGGTTTCGTTCACATGGAAAGTCTATTTTCTAAAAATCTATTTTCTATTCGAGGTATATCTTGTGATCACGGTCTGTGCCCTGAATATCCCGCAGCGTAATTACTGGCAGCGCGAGCCAGTTACTTCCAAAGCTGTAATTAATTCTCGGCTGTGCTCGGAGGAGATTCTGATACCTTGACGCATGCGCAGTAGGAAGTTAGAAAGTTAATGGTGGTCGCGGTTGCTTTGAAAAATTTGTTTGTCGATTTTGTGCAACAACAAGACAAAGAAGATGAAGAAGCTATACACACGACAGATACGAGTGCAACCGTCATGATCCGATGGCAAGTGATGCGGCAACTAAAGATGAGATTTTATAGAATGCGAGCACAGCCGAGAATTAATTACAGCTTTGTATAAGTAACTGGCTTGCGGTGCCAGTAATTACGCCGCGGGATATTCAGGGCACAGACCGTGATCATAAGATACTGCAAATAGAAAATAGATTTTTAGAAAATAGACTTTCCATGTGAACGAAGCCTTAACGTTGTGGCCTCTTCTCTTAAGGCTAGCAGAATAATAATATTACTTACATCGATGGGCCCCAGCATCATTACTTCAAATTGTAAATGGTGATTAGAAAATGATCTCACTTTCAGTCTTGGGAAAGCTTATTTTTGTTAGAAGAAAATTGTTGTATTTACATTTCTACTTATATAACTGTGTAGGGATTTGGAAGAAAAAGTGCCTAGATCCCCCTTGCAAATACTTGGAGATTGACAACTTACATAACTGCCCAGCTATTACATAAGAGAGTCACCCCCCTCCACATTTACCACTACCAATTAATTAAATTAATTTTGACAGGCTGAAACAGTTAGAAGTGAACTTACAAAAGGGACCTGATACATGAAAACTAATACATAAAAACATGATGTGAAAAGGGTCTTAGACAGAAAGTGATCATAACACATAACACACCTTCACTTCTTTCTGAACTCATTTCTTTCCATAATTCTGGTGCAGCCCATCTAACATGAAAAAACATCTCATCCTGGAAATGGAATGCATTAACATGAGCTAAATGAAGTTTGACTTAACCTGATGACATTTTCCTATGTTAATAATGTAACTTAATACAAAAAAATTCTTGCTAAAATTTCTTCCTTAATGAGTTAAGGTTTTTCAATTTTATCTGCCAAACATCTATCTTTTCATAGCTGTCCATTTATAAGGTTCACATTGTCTAAGTAAAACCAAAATATTTTTTGATAAATTTTCTTCAAAATTACAACTCATGAAAATTTCTAACTTTTCTAGGAATCCTGTAAAAACCTTTTAAGTTTTGTTTATAAACCAACCTGTTCTGAATTCTCGATGTACCACTTGCAGATTGGGCCTCACTGGCTGTATCATTATTCTGAGTGGGGTAACTGTGGCACGCAAGTCCAAAATCACACAACTTGATCTGCATTTCAAGGGAACTTTTGTCAATCTGAAAGAGAATTCACTTTGCATTCATTTTTACAAGAACGTGTGGTTTACGTGTGTGTGTTTTTGTTTGTGTTCATATGTCACAGTACATAAGGTGTGGATCAACCAATCTTGAATTGGCTGTTTGGAGTTGTTTGGGACATATGAATTTCGACTAGTAAGCCATTTTGAACAATCTTGATTTTGGTGAATTTCAGGCAGTTAAAAAATCAGCCATGGGCTATTTTTGGGTTTATACAAACTGTTGGCAATGTTGCCCCTGCGTTCCTTTTCCTGAGCGCTATTTGTCTTCCCAAGGTGCAAGATAATGATCAGTACAATGGCTTGGGATGCAAAACAGCATTGTCATTATCATCATTAAGATAAGGAGAGAATTAATTAAGAACTGCACTGTCGCACTTACATATTTTACCTGAATGCGTGGTGAGGGATAATGATTGTTTTGCTTGATCGCACAATAGCTTCGACAACAGTAGAGATTTTAATATCAGACCAAAAGAGGCAATTTAGAATTAAAATAAAAGAGAAATCTTCCCGATATGTCAAACTTACCTTTATACCCTATAATCTGACAAGCACATGGAAATTCATGGGGCATTACAGGGGCGGATTTAGGGCGTCTTCTGGGTCTTCCGAAAGACGGTCAGATTTTCAAGTTTACATTGACGGGTATCTAATTTTTTCTGTCGGAAGACGGTCAAAAATGGAGGATAGATCAACAAAGATAATTTGGAAGACTGTCAGAAAATAACTCTGGATCCGCCCCTGCATTATAGTAATGTCTATAATTTCTTTTCTCTTACTAACAATGGGTCCTTTAATATGCATTGAATGTAGTAAGACTTAACAGAAAACGTTTGTTACATTGTTTCAATGTCCACCTTCTAAAAATTATTCAGTTAGGATCTTTAAAAATGAAAGGCAAATGAAAGGAAAACACCTGATCCAAATGAAACAGCAATGCTGGCAAATATACAGACACCAAACAGCAATCAACATCACCATAATATTTATATAAAAACAAAAACATTAGTTAAAACTAGAGGATCAGCCTCCTGGTATTACACCACCTGGAGTAGTAAATGGACATACAGCGTCTGGAGTAGTAAATGGACATACAGCGTCTGGAGTAGTAAATGGACATACAGCATGCCAGAGCTGTAAAGGCTTATTCTTATAACATTGAGTTATGATAGCAGGAGTAAGCACGTTCAAGGGAAGGTATGGATGTATGTGTGTTAGCTGGAGAAGTAAGGTTGGGTAAATGTTGGTAGAATATTTTATGGGAAGATGTAGGATAAAGGTCAAATTCAAGCGTAGATGAAGATGTTCAATGTCTGATTGTTTACCGAATATGAAGTTCTTTGAAATAGTTGTGAATGTATATAATAATATAGGCTATAGTTTTGTCGATTGTATTAATTGTAGACACTCAGCAAATTTCAAGTAAAACAAAAACACATGGCACTTATGGGCAAAATAATAATAATAATAATTTTAAAAAAACATTTAAATGTCTGCACAATAAAGTAACATACCAATATATTGTCTGGCTTCAAATCTCTGTGGACAATACCATTTGAATGCAAGTAGTACAGGGCACTGGCAATCTGCTTGGCAAGCTGCCATGTCAAGGATGTTGACAGTCCCTATATTCAAAATCACAGAAATTTACAGCTTGTAAAAACGTAAAAGGCATGCTTTTAAAATGTTCAAAAACTGTCAAGAGAAGATTACAGTGTATATGAACCTAAAAAATATGTATATTTAACATCAAATTTATTTTAAAAAGTTTGTATATATTTCTCTCTTTAGCATAGTTTTGCTTTAAAAATTTTATGTAATGATAAGCTTTTTTCACCTTCCTTTCTGGTGTCTCTTGTCTGAGAACATACTTGAGCAGTGTCTCTTCTATGTATTCCATCACAATGTACTGTGCACCTGCAGGAAATTTGGTTTTCTGAGCAGTGTGGAATTCTCTTGACATGAAATCAATGTTCATGTCATGGGGCAACTTGCCTATGCCACGAAATGCCACTATATTATCATGATTTAAATGCCTGTGAATTGAGAAAAAGATATGATATATATACATATAAACTAAAAGCTGCATATAAAACAGTGTATAATAGTCTGTGTTAAATAACTCAATCCATTAAAAGTGCAAAATACTCCAGTTTGACACCATTTATGATGCACCCCTCTCCCTTATTGATATGTCAATGAATTTCACCCTTTCAATTTAATTAAGTTAATAGAAGATGAATGATACTAAGATCGCATTCACAACGAGTTGAGCCATGGCTTTACAAATCCTGGAACTAAATATCGCCTCTCACACGCCTCCCCATGCATCGTCCCTGCGGGGGTACCGTCATTAAATCTCGGCTCCATTGGGACGACACATGGGGAGGCGTGTGAGAGGCAGAGAGACTATTAAAAGATTAGGCGGTTTTTCTTTCATGTACGTCTGCCATATTTAGTTCCAGGATTTGTAAAGCCATGGCTCAACTCGTTGTGAATGCAGTCTAAGGGACTGTGGGTGTGACCTCAAATTTGGATGACTTTCACAAAATGATGTAAAAGTTTTGTAATCATGGAATATTTCACTCACACTGATGAAGGCTTTCATTGATGTCACATGACCCATATACATGATGTTTTTGTCTTGCAGTTAGTTAAAATTCAGAGGAAAAAAATCTAATTTTTCTACTGCAACCTATATATTGTATCACAGTTAAATAAACAGTGCGTATATTTCCTTGAAAATTTTGATGTCAAACTATTTTCTCAACCTGACTAGAGCCTCCTCTCCTGTAAGTGTGCTCTTTGTAAGAACTTTAAAAGCCACGGTGCCTCCAGCATAGCTGACTTTGTATACGACACCAAATGCCCCTTGGCCAAGCTTGGTCCATTTCCCTGACTCAATTGCTTGTAGGTCTACTTGGATGTTTAAAAGTTCTAAGAAAGAAATAATATACATATATAAAGACATTTTAGGGATAAAAATACCACAGCTGTGACAATGACTGTGACATCATATGAGAGTATGCTACTAATAGATATACAGTGTATACATTAGCTTGTTTGGAACGAGACTTAAACTACACTTTCAAATTTTTTCTACCACAATCAGATACACTAGTACTGTAAATTACTTGTTTACTTATTTACTAACTGTCATAGTATTTCTTTATTTATTACGAATTTAAAATTTAGAATGTTTTGATTTGTATACTTTGGTAGATACTGTGCAAGAAAATTTAATAAAGTAATATTTCTGCTGCTACTGGGAGTTGAGAACTTGATTAGGGGAGACCGGGGCAAGCTGGACCCCAGGATAAGTTGGCCCCCCATCAATCTATGAAAAAGTAACTGCAAGGTAAAAAAATTGGCCACATACTCTTGTAAAATGACCGTAGCCTACAATGCTAAGGAAGTGTCAGACGTTAAAAAGTTTTACTTTTTGCACCTAAAAGTAATTTAAAGATCTATTTTCATAGGCTTTTGATCAAATATAATATATGTATAGGGCATCAAACTGAAGCTCATTGTTTCAAGTTTCACAGAGATATATCATCGTTGCTCATTCTAGCACCATAAATGCCTGCCATCCTTTAAAATAAATAATATGCACCTGGGGCTTGTTGGCCCCCTTGACTCAGGGCAAGTTAATTGGACCCTCATATTACCCACAATCCTTTGCGCGCAACAGACCATTGTTGAAACAAACTCAGTGGTTTAAAACTGAATTTGTTACTTTCTTTTAAAACGAAAA